TTTTTTCTAGTCGTACAAAATCGCTCAACTAGTGCCGTGTAGAGCCTTGATCGAAAGAGTTTCGCTTGTATGAAAGAGTTGTCGCTTGTTTGATAAGTTTTATATTAAAAGCCAGTGACTTTCAGTTATCTTTAATTATTTATTGAAGGTTTTCCAACGATTTTCATCCAGGAATATATTTTTTTGATAAAGATTTGAATGTTTTAAAAGATCATAAGTACGTACACTCAGTGAACCATTTCATTTTTCGGTCCGTACCGTAAGTTATGGACCGCAAATTGACCAATCAAAGCGCGTGAAATTACCTTGCCATATAATAAGCTCCTTAACTACTGACCGTCACACTCAAGTAACGGCAAAACTGCAGCAAACTACCCTACTATCAAGCACCAAAATGATGTTTGGCATCTATCCAAATGGGTGACAAAGAAGCTGTCAAAAAAAGCGAAACTCAAGTCAAATAAAGATCTAGAGTCTTGGATTAAATCGATCAACAATCATTTATGGTGGAGTGTGCAAACCTGTAACCAAGACCCCAAAGTTCTTGTTAGTAACTGGGTGTCGATCACCAACCATATTTGTGACAAACATACCTGGAAAGAAGGTAAAACCACTGTATCTTGCAAGCATCAGAAGCTATCTAGACGAGAACGCAAAGAAATTAATTGGTTAAAGCCAGGGTCACCTGCTCACGTAGCACTAGAAGAAGTCATCTGTAATCAGAAGTTTCTAAAGGACATTGTTAAGCTTACTGAATGTCATCACACTGGAAATCTGGAAGTTTTCCATTCTCTACTACTAAAGTATGCACSCARGAGAAAGCACTTCTCATACCAGGGAATGGTTGGCAGAACCCAACTGGCCATTATTGATCATAACAACAACAGCAATCGAGAACAAGCAATTACTAAGAAAGGAGAAGGCCGATATCTTGTGGTTTTTCCAAAGACAAGAAAAACCTGGGTCGTTAAGCCAGTGCTAACACAGATGTCATATTCATTTGTAAACGTCATGGTGGATGAGATAGCTGAATGTCACAAGAATAAGAAAACACTGCCAAAAATACAAGTACCTGAACACATTCCAAAGAACATCGCCACTGTCGAAAGACTACCAAAGGAGGAAGTCGTGAAGAAGCATATATCTCGAATGATCAAAAAGAAAAAGGAAAAATCTCAATCTAATGGTAAGTATCGATCAATCAATCAACTTTATTTATTAGTACACTAGTTACAATGTAAATTAAGTATGGTGTGTAGTAATCTGGTAGCATTGATATTTATGACAACATATGCTATCATAGCAGTGCTCTGAACAAAATACATGTCAACATTATAACATTGTGCCATTTTCATTTGTCAACATGATTGATGAAATAGCAGAATCCCACAAGACTAACAAAACACTATCAAAAACACATGTACCTGAACATATTTCAAAGGAGGTTGCAACCATAGAACCACCAAAAGAGAAAATTAGCAATCTAACGACAAAAAAGAGAAAA